GGGCTTAGCAGGTAGCAATGTCCAGATCTTTTTTTAAAAAATTAATTAATTGAGGAAACATTGGTTAACAACATTATATAAATTTCAGGTGTACAACATTATAATTTGATATCTGTATACTCTGCTGCATGCTTACCACCAGAAGTCTACTTCCCATCCCTGCACCTGGACTGGCCTCAAGCTTGGACCCCTCCTTTTCTCCCTTGTTTCTTGAGAATGAGGCAGGTAGAACTTTGGGGAGCTTGTTTATCAATGTAGTTGGCACCAGGAAGAGCCCCAAGTGTTCAGACAGGTTGCTTTGAGCTGTATGGGGAGTTAGGGGATGGGTTAAGACTGGGAAAATTACTTGAGGACAGAGAGGTTGAGTTTGGCCTTGTCTGTGACCCTGGAACATGGAGAGAGAGATCATTGTCTGATCTTGCATGCCCAACCTCCTAGAGGCAGGACGTGTGCCCATGTGCGGTGGTCCAGGATAGGCTTCTGTAGAGCACTGGTGGTAAACCCAGGCCTTGCTAGGCCTCAGTTTTCCTTTCCCGACAGATGGTCCAGCGGTTAAGACCAAGACTCAGACATGGATTTGAATCCTAAACTTAACCTTTCTTTGTTGTGTGGCCTCGAACAGGTAACCTAACTTCTCTGAGCCTTATGGGGCCAGTGACACTACCTGCTTCTTTGGTGATTTTGGTGAGGAGTCAGTGGGTTAATGTGTGTGATGCCCATTGTGGTAAGTGCTCAGTAAATATTAGCTATTCTTGTTATTAATCTGTGGGATGAAGGAGATGAGTGAAACGTTTGCTAAATCTCCGTCTGGCTTTTATGATCTCTGGTCTAAAGTCCCCAAAGCTTTTCCTTTGAGAAAGGAGCAAGACAAAGTTTTGAGAGAACTCTTTCTCCATTTCTTCCTGGGCACAGCTGAGTCTTACCCCCTGGAACTGTGACTAGGAAATGGATCTTCCAGGCAGCTTCCTGGAAGGATGGTGGATTAGGCAGTATCTGAAAAAGGGTGGGCAGGGTTAGGGCCTCAGATTCTTCTGGATGGTCACAGAATCCTGCACAAGACATTTCCCCTCTCTGTCTCAATCCCCTTGTCTCTGACTGTCTTTCTCTTTCTCCTTCTCTGCAAATCAGCCTTCAACCCTCCTCTGTGCTCCTGGATCTCTTTATGTTTGTACCATTTTGTCCAGTGGGTTCTACTAGATGTCTCTTTCATGTTTATCTTTATTTTTACGTCTGTATATGTGTTTCATTCTGGGTACATGCTTGGGGTGTCTGTGCATGTCTGTGTGCATGTAATACGCCAGCATGTCCATGCTGATATATGAATTCATATATCAGCATGGATATGAATTCATATATCAGCATGTGTGGCCCCTTTTTTTTTTTTTTCAGGCAAGCACACACAGAAACATCCATACACTCAAATGTAGTCATCTGTCTTTGTAGAGTGTGTGTTTGTGTATCAGTGGGTATCTATACCTGTTTATGTCTATACATGCATATCTGTATGAATGCACGACAAGGTATGTGTGTGCCCATGCCAGTGTGCATGAGTGCACACTGATATCTGTTTCTGTCTATGGGTAACATGAGGACGTGCTTTGGGATATGCCTGTTGGGGGATGTCTACATGTGTGTCTATGTGTCCAATTTGTTGTGTGACTGTGTATTCACATCTGTGTGTATGCATGTATAACTGATGACTACATTTGAGTGTATGGATGTTTCTGTGTGTGCATTCTGTAGTATGTAGCTGCATGGGCCACACTGTATACATGTGAGTGTCTGAGTTCTGTTTGTGCCTGTCTATGTTTGGATTCAATCACAGCCCTGACCTAGCTCCACTTCCTTTCTTTTTTTTTTTTTTCAGGCAAGGAAACCCTTGGTTGACCTCACAGATTGCAAGGACCTTGTCAGCTTACAATCCCTTATTTTTTATATTTTACACCTACAGCATCTGGTCTTCCTAGGTGGTCTCCCATCCAAGTACTAACCAGGCCCGACCCTGCTTAGCTTCTGAGATCAGACGGGGTCGGGCTTGTTCAAGGTGGCATGGGCTTAGATCATTTCTCTTCTTAAAGTAATTCCCTTATTTTCAGAGTATTTTCCTCCCTCAGTTTTCAAGGATCACGCTAAGTAGAAAATGCCTCCATAGGACACATATGTCCTGGGAGCATTCTGAGGTAGGTCACTCCTATAGGACCAATTTAAATATTCTTTTATAAAATTCTCTTTCCCGTGGTATCATGGTATCAGTGTCACTCAACCAGTGTTCACTGAACCCACTACTTTGTGTTGGGTGATGCAGAGGGCACAGGGGTGACCAAGACAGTCCTGGGCCCTGCCCTCATGGAGCTTTCACTCCACAGGGGAGATAGACCAGTCACAAAACAGTGACAGCTCAGAAAGGACAATGTTGGGATGAGAAAGCACAGGCGGAGGGGCCAGGGTGGGATGAGGGGGCACAGGTAGAAAGGTCAGGGCAGGATGGAGGTACCAAAGCAGAGGGATCAGGGTAGGATGGGGGTACTTAAGCAAAAGGGTCAGGGCCTGGATGGGGGGCCCAGGGAGCTGTAGGAGCCCAGAAATGGTACCTAATCAACCTTGAAGGTTCAGGGTAAGCCACTCGAGGGCTAAGAAGGGATTTTCCACGGAGACATAGTGGGAGTTGGGAAGGAGAGTTCCAGACAGAGGAAATAGCCTGTATAAAGGCCAGAGGCCTGAGGAACATGGTCGAGTGTTGTTAGAGTATAGCTGGAGCTGTTAGTAGGAGTCAGACTATGTGGAGTCTTATGCAACGTGATAGGGAGTTTGGATTCTGTC